GGAACCTAAGGGAGTACTAGGGAGAACTGGGGAGTACTGGGTTATATACCCCCCTTAGAACCCCCTCCCTTAAGGATTCCATAAAAATTCGAGCGTTGTAGGATTTAGTTTGGAACATGGCTTGCGGCTGAACAGGACAGAGGGTTCTGGGTTTGAGGCTTGTTGGGGGGCCTAATTATTTAATTTCCCTTGCTGGGCAGCAACGGGGAAAGATTGGAATCAGGGTTTCGGGTTCACAGTTCAGGGCTTCGGGTTTGGCCCCGCACTTTTCGGGCACACCTTGCAGCTTTCTAAAGCCCTGCAAATAAGGCCTAAGAATCAAGCCGTAAACCCCAAGTGCCTGACAACATACGAATTCAAACCCCGAAACTACACTCCCCAAAACGAAAGAAAACTAAACCTTGCACCCCAAAGAAACCCTCCGAAGCCCCGACAGTGCCTCGTAGGCGTTACGCAAGCGCTGCTCCTCTTCTTTGGAGGCCCTGACATCGGGTGTTTAAATAGGTCGATCTGGTTTGTATAGGGTTTGTTTACGGCTTTGGGTGTGCTGAAGCCTTGCATAACCATTTGAACAAGCTCGCGGGGTATGTTATGGAATATACATACATACACACACACACATACATACATACATACATACATACATACATACATACATACATACATACATACATACATACATACATACATACATATATGTACTATGTGTATATAATACATATATTACATTTATATGTACATATCATTAGGTATGTGTGTATATATATAAATACGGACGATAAGGAAACACTATCTCTAGACATGCAAATCTAGATAGGCAGACCCCGGATGTAGAGCCGTCAGACCACGGGTCTGGGATTGAAGCCTTCAGGGCTGGCAGAGGAATGGAGAGGCCCAAGACAGCATGGCCCCTTCCCAGAGTTCCTAAACCCCACGGTTTCAAGTTTAGGGTTTAGGGTTTAAGGTTTCGGGTTTAGGGCTTCAGGTTTAGGGTTTTGGGTTTTTCGGTTTAGGGTTTAGGGTTTTTCGGTTTAGGATCATGACATGTGACTCGAGCGAAACGGGGTTTGTTGTGCACGGAGAAACGAAGGGATGCTCCCTCCTGGATAGCGTCTCATCTTGAAGAAGTCGCCCCAGCTGTTCTCGGGCTGGCACCGCGCCGGGTTGAAGGTACATGGTGCCCTAAACCCTAAACCCAAAAACGTTAAACCGTGGACGGTGCCGCCGCATGCGGAATGTTCTGATCAGCTTCTTGAAGGAGTCGTTGTAGTTGGTCTCTGGCTGATCCCGCCCTCGGTGTCGTTGCGATCTCGAGCCGCCCCATCATGATTGAGAATAATAACAATAACAACCATAATAACAAGCATCATAATCATCATCGTAATCAGCAGCATAATATAAATAAAAGGCCGAGGGGTCGAAAGTTCAAATCGCTCGACCACGGGTCCCTAAGCCATTGCAGGATTTTGTGGCCCCAAAGCCCTACAAATTTAGCAAGATAAGCCATCTGAGTTGCGAGTCCTAGAAACGCAGGCGACAATATCATCCTAAACTCCTATACCTTAAAACGCTAAACCCTGAACCCTAAAACCCTCAGCCCTAAACTAGTGAACCGTAACGCTAATCCCAACAAAAAACCCAAAACCTCAACCAACCCCAACGCCTAAAGCTCAAAACCCTACACCCTCAACCCTCAAACCCGAAACCCTCAACCCTAAACCCTAAAACCCTAAATCCTCAAAACCGCTAAGATCAAGGCCTCAGCGCATCCAGCAAACGTGACCGTGGAGACAAGGACTCGGTCGCACTGCAAGCCGTGGAAACTGCCGACCTAATGTAGGGCTTGGGGGTTTGGGGACCTGGATTTGGGTTTTTAGGGTTTAGGATTTAGGGTTTAGCATATAGGATTTAGAGCCATATAGGGTTAGGCTGTAGAGTTTTTCAATTCAAAGTTAAAGATTTGGGGTTTGGAGTGTTCCTTTCAGGGCCCTACAAGGGTGATGTAGCTTTCAGGCTTAGAGCAGAGAGACTTTCTAAGCTTGAGCGCTTGAAGGCTTTGGCGGTACGTTTCGGAAGTGATGTCCCCTAAACCCTAAACCCGAAACCCTACACCCCTAAACCCTAAACCCGAAACGCTAAACACCTAAACCCTAAACCCTAAAAACCGCCCCAAACCCTATAATCCTAAATCCTACACCCAAAACCCTGTAACCCCAAATCCTGAACCGCAAATGTCGGCTGCGGATCAGCAATTCCGGCTCGGCCTGCTCTCGCTTCTTCGGATCGCCGTCTGCTGTAGTACTTGAGAATGTTGATGGTCTTTAGGGTTGCTTAGGGTTCGGGTTTAGGGTTTAGAGTTCTCATTGATGGGCTTCAGGGTTGCTTGTTGTCTGTGGTTACGATGACTTGGCCCTAAAACCTACACCAGTGCTTGCAGCTCCGCCCCGCTCAATCGCGAGAGGGCCCAATCCTCAGTCCTGGCCCAAACTAGGTGGCACTTTGGGAAACTTCAAAACCTCCCTTATGATTCCTTTGGAGGTATCTATTCGTAAATAATTTTGAAGGCCCCAAAACTACAACCCAGCTAATCTAGCGATCGGAACAAATGAGTAATCATGTATCCTCTTAGTATCTAGATGCTTATACTACAATATTCCCAGCATGCGAAGCGTTAGGCACAACACTCACTAGCACCACTCCACATACTCGCCTCGAAGCCACTTAGCGGCCCCCTATGCGTTTAACCCGAAATCCTACACCCTAAATCCTAAACCCTACATCCTAAAACCTAAACCCTAAACCTTAGACCCTGCATGCTGGAATCCTCGACCGTAGGCCCTAAGGGCCCTGAACCCCAAAAGCTGGGGAGCTCTCCGAGTGAAGCTCTGAAAGCTTTAGCACCCAGCCCCTACACCCGACCCGAAGCCCCAAACTCTAAGACATCAAGCTTAGCGTTCAGGGTTTAAGGGTTTCGGGTTTAGGGTTTAGGGGTCAATATAGGGTTTAGGGTTATATGGTTTAGAGCACAGGGTTTAGGGTGTTTAGGTTGAGGGTTTAGGATTGTGGGCATGTTATAGGGTGAAAGGGCTTTAGGACTCTAGGGCTCCAAGGCTATAGGCTATAGGGTTACACGCTCTAGGGGGTTATAGAGTTTTGGTGACAGAAGTGTTGAATCCAGAGGGTTTGGGGCTTTAGTCAGGCCGGGTGGCAAGTCTACCAGCACGGGCTCCTGCAGAGTGGCGGGAACAAATCAAGGCTTCCCCATCCTTTTGGGTATAGAAACCCTAAACCCTAAACCCTAAACCCTGAAACCCTAAAACCCTAAACTTGCCCTAAACCCTAAACCGTGAAACCATGAAACCCTAAACCCTAAAACCCTAATACCCTAAACCCTAAAACCGGACAGTCCCCCTTCCAGTACTCCGGCTACCACCCTGGCCAGGCTCCCAGACCTGCAAGCCGAAACCCTACACCCGACATCCTAAGCACGGATGCCCGCCGACGGTTTAGGGTTTAGGGTTTAGGGTTTAGAGTTTAGGGTGCTTCAGGCTCCACCCCCACCCACCTCCACATCCCTGAACTTCGGGGCTTGTGCATGAAGGGTTGGCGAAAACAAGATCCTCCGAAGAGCCGAAGAGCCTCGGGGATCGAACAGCAGATACATAATGTAGAGCTCGGAATAAATACCACTACTATGCCTTGAGGCTCCTTGACACAGCTGCACTGTGAGATATCCCAAACCCTCAGTCTAGTCGCTGAGTGCTAGGATGCAGGCGTGGGCTTCGCAGTGAGAGTCTGGGAAGGGGTGGGGAAAGGCTTAAGTTTCAGATTTAATGTGGTAGGGATCTGAGGCCTCACCGTCTGCAGTGCCAACACCCTGAACCTCAAAACCCACAACCCCATGCAACCCCCCAACTACCCTAAAACTCTCATGCCACGAACTTCAAACAACGCTAGCTGCCTGCTCGGGTAATGTCACAACGCGACTGGAACCCAGCGTAACCCGCTGGACCCTCACTACAGAGACGCCTAAGAGCAAGCCCAAAATTCAAACGAAGAAACCGCCATTAAACCCTTGTAGGCACAAAGCCTCTAGAAAATGTTGTATGCAATCCGAGATAACACCCTAGAAACCTTTCAGAACCCCTACCGAAAGCCTTGTAAATGCATGAAACTACGGAGCCCAATTAAAACCCCAGACCACAAGCGCTTAATAAACCAAAAAGATGCCCTGGAGCCCCCTCAAACCCTGCAAAGCCGTATAATGTGGGGCCCTAAACCCTAAACCCTAAACCCTAAACCCCTGACAAAGCCTTAGAGTTGGGGGTTCAGGATGTCTGGTTGCAGGGCTTGGTTTCGCAGGGTTAGGTGTATGCTGAACTCCTTTCCCTTGTTGAGTCCGAGCTCTGGTAGGAAGGCCGCTTAGGCTTGGGTTTTAGGATTTCCTTTAAGGGCCGCTCAGGCTTTGATTTTAGGATTTCATTTAATTAAGGGCCGCTTAGGCTTTGGTTTTAGGATTTCCTTGAAGGACGAAACCCTAAACTTAAACCCTAAACCCTAAAACCCTAAACCCTAAACCCCTAAACCCGAAACCTTAAACCCTAAACCCGTTCCTTTAAGGAACCCGTTTGGGACTTTCCAAACATGGCTCCTCCGCCTTCCTCGTCCCCAGAGGCACGGTGGGATTGTGCCGGGTGTCCGTCGGAGCCTCTGCTCTTCTGTTTACATTTCTTGGAGGGTTTAGGGTTTAGGGTTTAGGGTTTAGGGTTTAGCGTTTAGGGTTTAGGGTTTAGGGTTCTTCGAAGGTTTTGTTGTATAAGTTTTGACACACTTTGGGTTTGAGGGTTTCGGGCTTGCGGCTTTAGGGCAGCATAGCTCAAAGGCTAGTTTAAAGATGTAATTTATGTCTGTGGCTGCTTCTTAGGTCATCTGCGCAGCGATGTATTTCTGGTGCCTTGCGGTGCTGTTTTAATGGCGCTTCGCCCTTCGAGCGTTTGTCTAGCCACTTGTTTATCCTCTGGCTGAGAGCATTTTCGTATGACTTTGAATTACAGCCCTATGCAAAGTGGCATCTATCCTAGCACTATAATAGCTTGTGTTGCCGGCATCATGGCAATCTGCAAAAAGTGTGTCCTTTGTGGATGTCCCGAATATCGTACAATTTAGTGTAGCTTGTTGAAATCCTCTTTAGCTGAAACTCCCATCCAAGCTCTTCATCGGATCTTTAGTATGCCATAAAGACCCGAGTAGAAGGGACCCCGAAGTAAAGACATCGGACACAACTTAAACCCCATAACATCCTTTTATAATAAGAAAGAAGCCCATGAACCCCTATGAAGCCCCTAGACCTAGGAAACTAAACCCAACAATACCCTGAGCCCCTATCAAATTCCAAACCCTATAGAGACACCAGTAGAACCCTGCGACCATCCGCGCTGGGATCATTTGGGGGTTGGGGCTCCTTAACGAGGCTCTGATCGAACAGAAAGACACCCGGAACACTAAACCCGACCCTAAAAACCAAACCAGGACCCGTCGGAAACTTGGAAACACAAGCCTTCTTCGTCCACACCACCCCTGAAATCCCAAATTCTGCAAGCAAAGCCCCATGCGCTCAAAAGTTTTTAAGCACACTCAAAGCATGTACTAGCAACTCCTTAAACACCAAACTAAAGATGCCTTCCACAATGCCACCTAGCAAACCATACACCCAAAACACCTAAAGCCCTAAACTCGAACTAAACCGAACAGCCCAGAAACCAAATCACAAAAAAATCACCTGGGAGCACAAGCATGAAAGAATCTTAGCAAAAAATCTCCTAAACCCTAAACCCTAGTCTTACAAAACGAGGAAAGGGCCTCAGTCTCCGATTCCCCGTCGCTGCCCAGGGCGGGCGGTGCAGAGGGGACGAGAACGGAGGCGAAGGGCCTCAGGATTTGTTTTAAAGCGCTCCTTTTTCGGTCCCCAAACCCCGTAGGGTGAGCGAAGGGTTTGGGGGCTTAGGGATCTGGGGTCTTGGGTTTAGGGTCTAGGGTTTCGCTGTTTTTTTGTGAGAGCTCCTCTTCTGACTGCTGCTACGACTAGCAAATTCATTGCCAGGAGGGGTTTATGGTTTAGAGGGATCCTGTACACGGTTCTATAACGGCTCTGCGAAGGATTAAAGCGCTTAGGCACGAAATGGATTAGAAAAGGGTTGTGACATATATTCTGCTATGATTGCAACAGGGGCTATGAGGGAATACTATTTGGGGTGGCGAACCGGATTCTACAGTTTGGAACGTGGGGTTTGGGTCCAGGGGGCCTAAACCCTAAACCCTGATTCCTAACCCCTAAACGGGGTTCAAAGGTTGCAAGAGTTGAGATTCTTGAGCCCAAAAGACTGAGCCATATATTGTAAACCTCAAACTAGGGTTTAGGGACCATAAATGAAAGTGTGCAGACTGCAAGCCCCATACGCTCTCAGCAATACAAAGCTCTATTGAGCATGACCAGTGGATATTGAGGGCTATTTGGGCCGCCAAACACACCGAAATGGTCACTGCCTCAGGATGAACAGCCAAGGCAGTCTGGGTCGAAGTATGTACCGCATGTGCAAGCTTACCCAATATTGTCAGGTGTCCTGCTGATGTCTTTACTTCGCAGGAGGACAAAGGCCTTCCCAAGCCTGCCAAAAGCTGTGATGCACTTTCTATCGGCAGGGTCCTGGTCTCTCGCTTGTTTTGGGTCGCTTCGTAGATTTTGGCGTCGGCTCCCAGAGGCCATGAGGTTCCACCTGGCTACGGTTCCGGCTCCCACCGTTTGCCCAGGCTATGAAGACGAGCCTGTCTACGCAGGTCCATAGCCGTTGCTCGCCGCCGGCTCTACTGTTCAGGATTTCCGCCCCCACTCCCGGCGGAGGTAGTGCTAGGGTTTTAGGGTTTGGCGTTTGGGGTTTAGGGTTTGCGGGCTTTGGGGACTGGGGGTTGGGGTTTAGGGTTTAGGGTTTAGGGTACACTACCAAACAGCCCCACAATGAACTTGACACGAGCGGATCACAAGGCTTCAGGTGTGCATGAATTTGATCCGAGGCGCAGATCATCTTCATCCTCGTCCACGACCTTCGGAGTGCAGCGGTCAGTGTCCAGGGTTTTGCAGGTAAGGCGGCTCTGGGGCTTTCCGAGTGTAGGCGCAGAGCGTAACTCAGGTCTAATGTAGAAGCCTTAGTAATTAGAGTAGGGTTTTGGGGTATATTATACAACAATAATAATAACAATAACAATAATAATAATAAGGAGCCCCATACAAATATTGTTAATTATTCAGGGCCCTATAATATAGAAGCCCGTCTGAATGCCTTGCTTGTTCTTGAGCTTCAGAAGAACATGCTTCAAGGAAAAGCAGTGGTCGCCGGGCCCCTACCAAAGACCTAAAGTGATATGAACCCGTAAAGCCGCAAGTGCTTCACTCCCCCGGGGCCCTTTCCAAGCAAGAATGGCCCAGGGCTTCGGAACCCGAAACTGATTGAAAGAAATCCGCAGAAGCAGTACGAACGAGGCCTGAATACTTACTAGTACGATTCCTCAGGATTCCGTACCATTAATGTCGTAAAACATGTCCCAAAGCTGTAATCCAGAGATTCTGGAACCCCTTATTGCAAGCGATAAGCCTGAAACTATAGATGGATCCATGATTTTGGATACAGTTCTTTCGGGTCTCAGGGTGATCACTTTCCCAAACAGAGCACACCATGCTCCTTGATGAAGGAGAAAAGTCCTCAAACTGGGGAGGGCCTGCGCATAGTCTTTGTGAAAGGACCCGAAGCACTTAACCTAGCGCCACTCAAGAAGGGAAGAACTTCGTCTCTTAGCCATGCCACCAAAAATCTTATCGGAGGCCTCAAACGCTGGGATGAAAGTAGGTAGGATTAAGGATCCCTCATAGAAGGACACTTTATTTGGAAATCTCCCACCTACTTTCATCCCACCTTTTGAGGCCTCCGATCTTAGCAACCCCACGACGTCTCCACCCCGGTCTAGGCTCCCATTTTGCGGGAACAGTTTGCCCGAAACCCTAAATCAAAACCCCTAGATCCTGCAAGCCCTATCCGGTCAACCTCAAACCGCAAAACCCAGATCCCTCTTCGAATCCTTACTCGGGTTCAGGGCATTCGGGTTAGGGGTTCCGTAGGGCCTGGGGAACCCTACACAGGAACCCTAAAGCCTAAAGCCTAAACCCTATGTAAACCTTAAGGAAACCCTAACCCTAAAGCCTACACCCTAAACCCTACGGGAATCATAAACCGTAAAACCCCTACCCTTAAACCCTAAACCCTTTGGGAACTCAACAATCTAAACCGCTAACCCTTAAACCCTAAACCCCTGTATAGGGAACCCGAAACCCTAAACCCTCAAGGGAACCGTAAACCCTCCCCAACCAACCCGAACCTCAACCTAAACCCTTAGGGAGGTCCTGTTTGTAAGGGTGCCGTACTTTATTCGGAACCTACAAAGGGACTCTAATTTAGAGAACTGCCCAAATCCTAAAGCTAACGCCCTCAACCCCTGAACCCTAAACCCTAAACCCTAAACCCTAAAACCAAGAAACCTCAACCCCTAAACCCTAAACCCTAAACCCTAGACCCTAAACCCTAAACCCGAAACCCTAAACTCTAAACCCTGAAGGGAACCCTAAAGCCCAAGCAGTCGAATCTGTGAGCCTTGAGACCTGGCAAGGTCAGGTCGTCATGGGCAAAGTAAGGCATTCCTAGGCCCTTTTGGCCGGAGGGTCTAGGGCTTTAGGGCTTTAGGGCTTTAGGGTTTTAGGGTTTTAGGGGGTTTAGGGTTTTAGGGTTTTAGGGTTTTAGGGCTCTGGGGTTTTAGGGTTCAGGGTTTAGGGTTTAGGGTTTAGGGTTCAGGGTTTCGGGTTTAGGGTTCAGGGTTTAGGGTTTGGGGTTCAGAGTTCAGGGTTTGGGGTTCAGGGTTCAGGGTTTAGGGTTCAGAGTTTAGGGGTGCTGGTGAGTTTGGAGGCTAGGGCTGTTTAGGTGTTCGAGCTGAGGTGTGACTTAGGATTGAGCCCTACGGCTTAAAGGGGTTTAGGGTTTAGGGGTTCAAGAGGTTAGGATTTAGGGTTTAGGGTTTAGGGGTGTAGGGGTTAGAGCTTAGGGTTTAGGGTTTAGGGGTTAGGGCTTATAGGGCTTTGGGTGTGGAGGCTCTCTTTCTCTCGCAGGTCGCGGTGGTTAAGTGCTCGGCTAGTGCTTGGGTTGAAGCGCTTGGGGAATTCCGAAACCCCCCATATCCAGATAGCATCAGGGCCTGAACAAGTGGATCACGTTCTCTGTATGTTGACCTACTTGGCTAGGCAACCTTACACAAGGGCGCTACACATGAATGCTAAACCTTGATGTTTGCTGCACTGGGCTGCGCAGTGTGCAAAGCTCTGCTGGAGCCAGGACACAACATCTCGCACTCTGGCCAGGTCGGGATGGTGGGTATCGAGGTCACGAGCCCTTTGGGATGAAAGTTTAGGGTTTGGGAACTATTTCACTCAGAAATTCTTCAAGCCTTGTGGGCTTCTGGGGTGTAGGCGGCTTTGAAGCTTGAACACCAAGGTTTTGATGAAACGGCAGATACGTGCACAGCTGGGAAACAAAATCACAAACTCCGTCGACTCTAACCACCAACCCAAAGCCCGAAAGACTCAAGCCACACTCTAGGGGCCTTAATAGCTGTAGGGCTTCGGGTTGGGTTTAGAGGGCCCTTCATGCTTCGACTTTTACTGTAACTTTGTTGGGGACATAGAGTGACACTATTGGATAGTGTTACTGGTTCTCCAGACCCCTGTTTTATGCGGCTTTAAGATTGGGGTTTTGGGTTTAGGGTTTAGGGTGTAGGTTGGGGTTCAGTTGACCCTGCGTAATTGGAGGTACACAAGCAGATACAGTGCCACTCAAGTCTACTCGAGGACGGACACTCGTTGCGACAACGTATCATCACCATCCCCTTCAAGCTCGAGCCAAGACCAATCCGAATTGAACCCGGCGATGTTCATCCCCAGATACCAACATCTCCGAAAACAGGACCCTCCGAAGTCTTCAAGAAACAGTAGCACTCTGAGTATGTCACTCATCGCCGTACCATAACCAAACCCGCTCTGACCACCACCACCATCAACAACATCATGTTCTTCTTCTTCATCATCATCATCATCATCACACAAGCAACCAAAGCAAGACCAGCAGCTACAACAAACAAACCCAAGAAGTCTACATACTAGTCGTAAACCTGGTGGAACCATGAATACCACTGTTCTAACCTGGCGTCGCGTTGGAGGAGGGTCGCTTCGCGAAGATATCCATCGAACCTTCCTGACAAGATTCTAAACCGAAGGCATCTGAAAACCCTAAACCCTAAACCCTATTTTATTTGTCGATGCAAGCCTGACACCCGTGAACCCCCTGAAGCCCCATTGGCGCGTCTGCAGGGCGCGGGCGAAGAGCCAGCTTGCGATAGGCGGAGCGGATCTCGGTGGAAGGCTTGATGGTTTAGAGTTCATGGTTCAAGGATTTAGGATGTACGAGTAAAGGGTCTGCAAGCTTCAGTTTCAATGTTTCGGGTTTGGGGCTGAGGGGTTGAAGGCTTGAGGGTTTAAGTGCTTAGGATTTGACGGTGCTTTAGTCTACACGTCTATTTTACAAGGCTATGTCAGGGCTTCAAAGTGCCCAGCATCGCTTCCTTGGGGGGAGAGCTCAGCCGAGTGCAGAGATCGGGTTTGCTCACTCGAACCCTAAACCATAAAACCCTTAACCCTGTGCGCCACACTCGAAAACGTACAGTTTCCTGCTGACTGCATGCTCCGTCCTCCCAAGAATCACCACCATTCTATCAGGCTTCCATAAGGTTCCTAGAAGGTTATTACAAGGGTTCCAGAAGGATACGTTAAGGGTACAATTGAGATGTTGCGGGCGTTTAGGTTACACTGTTCTGGGGTGGGAAAACAGGACACCAGGAGTTGGTGCGCCCGGACTCAAGACCTTTGGGATTTCTCCGGTGTCAACCCGAGGTCTCAAAAGCAACTCGCAAAAACACACCTAGCTGGCGCAAAATGACATCCGCCATGATTGTTCAGCATCGTCAAAGATAAGCATCACACTTTGCAGCGGAAGCTGTAGCAGTAGCAGTGGCACCACTAGTAAGTAGTAGTCGTCGTCGTGGGTGGTGGACGTCGTCCTCGTCGCAGTAGTAGCAGTAGTAGCAGATAGAGGTAGCAGGCAGCAGGCTGCGGGTAGCGTAGCCGGTAGCAGGCAGCAGGCAGCAGGCAGCAGGCAGCAGGCAGCAGGCAGCAGGTAGCAGGTAGCAGTAGCAGTAGCAGTAGTAGTAGTAGTAGTAGTAGTAGTAGTAGTAGTAGTAGTTGCTGTTGTTGTTGTTGTTGTTGTAGCAGTCGTCGTCGTCGTCGTCGTCGTCGCAGTAGTAGCAGTAGCAGCCGGAGTAGTAGCAGTAGTAGTAGTAGTAGTAGTAGGAGGAGGAGGAGGAGTAGTAGTAGTAGTAGCAGCAGTAGAAGCAGCAGTAGAAGCAGCAGTAGTAGCAGCAGCAGCCGCAGCAGCAGCAATCGCAGTAGTGCTACTGGTAGTAGTGATAACAGAAGCTGCTGTCGCTATTGCTGCCGTTGCCACTGTCGTGGGTGCTGTTGTTGCTAGCTGTTGATGTTGCAAAAGTCGTAGTTGTCGTAGCTTGATCAGCAACGGCCAAAATAGTTGTAGTCGTACACTGGTGCTAGCACTGCTTGAGTACAAGTAGGAACCCTTTGTGCTACTGGCACTACCTTTTGCGGCTACTACGCCTGGCACTCGCAAGTTGAATGGTAACAATGCAACTGCTGCTCTTCTGGCCACGGACCTGCTTCTCATCCAGGGGCGGCTCGATCTGCAGTACCTCCGAAGCAGTCGCGGTCTAGAATGTAGAAACCCCAGGGTGCAAGCCCCTCAAAGCCTAAAGCGCCAACCCAAAACCCGGAATCCTAGATCCTAAACCCTACACAGAAACCCTCCTTCCTAAATCCTAAACCCAACACCAAGGCTCCTCCCTCCAACACCCAGGCTCGACATGGTTAGGATTCGAGCAAT